ATTCTGAATTTGTTCGAATTACAAGTATATTATGTATACAGTTATTATTATGTATTATTATTTAAATTATAGCGATAATACGATCATGTCAAAATTATACTAGTGTTAGAATATTTTCGTTACCAACTCCAAATACTCTAGTGTGATTTTTTTCGTGAAATATATCAGAGTTTGGTGATTATTACCCACAGAGATATGTAAAAAAAAAAACAGAACATTGAAGTACCAAACAAATTCAAATATTATTTACGAAAAGTGGGTGCCCCATTGGATCCCTCCATCGGTGTTGATTACGCATAGCTTCGGCCCTGTCGGACAGAGAGAAGCGAGCAGTGAAAGATATGGCGGTAAAACGTCGTGTATATGTTGCCTTCGAACATTTTCTCGATCTACTCGAAATGTATATCGTTCCGACACTTCTACCGGGCCGTTTCTTCTTCAGAAATGTCTACAGAATCCGATCCTGAGTAGAGTTTTTGTGCAGAACAAACAACTTTTCGTAAAAGTATAAAAATATCTTTTGAGACCGATTAAAACTTTCTAACGTTTTTACTTTTCATGCAATACCTCATTTTTGTCGAAAATTTTGGTTTTTTATAAAAGCTCGTTTTTTTCGAAAACTGAGGGTGATGGTGCAATTCGGTTTTCGGATCCTTGATCGAGGAGTGAAGCTCTACAAGAATTTCATAGTGGCTATAGGAAATCAAAAATCGTGTCGGACAGTGTATTGTATCACAAAACTTTTTTGTCCAATAACTGTGTATAACAGTTTAGACGTTAGAAATAGCTACTTTAAAATATTTTGGAAAGTTTGTTAACTTATTTGTAACACAATTTTATAATTTATTGATGTTTTTGTGAGTTTTTATGTATTATAATCAATCGGTATAATGTTGCAAAATAATTTCTGCTTCGTACATGCACAGCGTTTGTGCCATGATATATAAAATGTTATATTCCATAGACATAAGAAATCAAAACAATAAAACTAATGAAAATGGAAATTTCAAAATGAAAAGTTTTTTTGAAAAACTCAATGAAAACACTTGCTTTTATTGTGCATTGACAGCATCTACAATCATTTTAACTTTTTATAACCGCTAACAACCCTTTGAATATAGCTTGATGCTGTCTTTTTATTGTTTTCTGTTTTACGCATATTCACTTTTCTACAAGTCAAAATTTTAATTCTGCGACAGTAAAACTTCTTTGCTTTAATTTACAGTATAACCTCGATACTTTTCCATAACATTAAAATATCGTCCTTTTTACTTTCATAAGATTCAATATTTCTGTTTTATATAAATCTGTATGACTGTGTTGAAAAATGAACTTTGCATGTACATTAAATCTACTGCTACATTTTACGGATGAACTTCGCAATTGATTGCCCATTTTTTACCTTGTGTACTCCTACATTCTATTTGAACTGCAGTTTTCTCTCTCTTTTAATGCGTTGAACACCCAGCAAGAATCGGTAGAGTTTCTCCCGGCCACGCCGCCACGAAGCAAAAAAAAATTTACAAAAGACTAGTCCCGAAACACCTTAATTATGTTTGTAATGTTTTAACGAATTCCATCGTAACTAATAAAATGTTATAATATTTTAAAAACAAATTTAAATATAAGTATATGTAATTTGTTAGTATCAACATATTTTATATTTTATTATTTTATTTTATTATTAGTATACGTATATTTTTAATGTTTATTTTTGTTTACTTTATACTTTATTGTTACCCTATATTTTCTATACTCGTTGTAGTTGTGTTACAAATAATGTTACTATAAATTACCTCCAAAATACTGCTTGAATTGGACGAAGACTGCGGAAACAGCCGTCACCCAGATATGGGTGACATGGCGTTCAACTTGTTAAACCATAAAAGTAGCAATTTAAATAGTTAGGCTCATAAAAAAGAACATTTTTTTCTTTTAGCAAAGGTCACATCTTTCAATTTTTCATACGAATGTGTTTGTTGATCTTTTTCAGTAACTAATCCCATTGTTTACAATGAAATTCATGTTACTTCTTGCTAGTATCCATAAAATTTTGATTAACGGACTGTTTTTATTCTTGAAAATATATTAGTTGAGATCAGAGAAAACCTATTAATTTTCTTCTACAAATGAAAAATAGGACGGGATCAATATTAGTATTATTAATATTGCGTGTTCAACATTGACCATTTCAATCGAAATTTCCTACGTTTATTTAATAAAGTGTTACGAGTCCGGCATATTCCTGGCACGTGTTGTTTGTTTGCGTTTATAAGGACTGGGGGAATATGTGTCGTTGATTAACCGAGATAGCTTAATGTAGATTAAAGCAGTCGCTCGGCAAGCGAGGAAGATTCCGGATTCGAATCCCGGTCCATCATCCGATCAGTCGACTCCGTTTTCTCCTAGAAAAGATTGCCTCATAGTTTCCGTCGTTAATTGGAACAATTATCGGCTAATTCTCATCCCAGTTTATTAATTCTTAGATATATTAATTATTTCTCGACGCTGGAAGAAGTTTTCGTAAGTAAACTGTTGACGTTCTAGTAGCACATAGAAGAAGAAAGAAATTATTTCATCTAGCGTGTAGACATATGTACGGTTTTATAGTATAACGTGTCATTAGTAATATCGTCGCGAAAAGTACTTGATTAATATTTATACGATATCAAACGAGCACTGGTTTCATTGTGAAAGCAACAAACAGATAGGTTATGTATGGCCAAGCGTCGTGAATAATGTTATGCAGTTGAAAATGATTCTTTCTGTTCGCGAAGAAGCAGAGAAAATGAAGCTTTTGTATCGAGGCACGCGTCGCATCGCGTCGTTGAAAAGAACGGAAACGGAAATAGAAATGCAGCATCTGCTTACCCTTATGAAATCATCTTACGAGACTTTTCGAGGGTCGCCGTATTCTAAATGGGGGTACATAGTTTCCGCGACAAAGCTCTGTCGTGGAAAAAAGAAACGACTGCACGGAAGTATATTATTGTAGGCCATGTGGCGACCAGAACTTTTCAGGATCGGAGACTGTCTCGTGTCTCGTCACATCTGGGTACTTGAGCGTGTACCGTCGCTGAGTCACTTCTACACCGGAAGAGGAGAGGGAGAGAACCTTTCCTCGAGAAACGAACGCAGCCTCGTTGTATCGCATCTCCGGTTCAATACCGTATCGGCAAGAAGAATAATTACTTATGTCTGCACGAGTGTTTATGCGGTTATTTGCTAAGATATTCGGTCATCTTTTAAACGGAACAAGATGTTCAGAATTGAACCGTATGATTTGAATTTTTTGAAGACGTCAATTTACTGGACAGCGAGTACAAATGTTTTTCCAGAAGTTGCAATTTGGTTTGTGCGACAAGAAAAAGTAAAAACATTAAAGAAAATAATGTTTTTATCCGAAGATATAATGAATTGCAGCTTTTCCAAATTTTTGTTTAGGCATTGTTCAGTAAACTGAATCCTCTAATATCTAAGAAAGAAATGTCAAGTGATTTGGTGCAATTTTTATGAAGTTCTTTTAAAAGACAATATAACCTTCTCCACTTTCATTTTCTCTTCTTCTGTAACTGAATTTACTTCTGTTTCAATTTCTTTGTCTGTTAATCCTTCGCTGTGCCATTTTCGTCGTGCTTGCAATGATTAAAATTTTTTCGCCTCTCATCGGTCATCGTTTTTCGTTAATAACTCATAAACGAAGCCGCGGGTTGCTTTCTCACTAAAGAAAAAGTTACTTCAAATCACCTCAGGAACCCCTCATCTCCCACTTGTACAACAATTTTGGAACGACCTGTATACAAATATTATCAGATAACGTGATCACAATAAAATATTTTGGCCGAGCCATTCGTAATCTTGATTGAATGTATAATAAAGTCGTCACTTCTGTGGAATCTTGTAAAGAAAATTATTTTATAAGATAGATGAGAGAAGAAAAGTGACTCAACTAGTAAATGCGTAACGATTTACGCAGTTTTCAGACGTAAATGTATGTCGAATCATTTACACAATATCTCTACACACATATGTTTTCCTACAATCGAAATGTATCTTACTTCAGAAAATCCAATTTCTTAACTGAAAAAACATAGGAAGGGAAATGACAGTTTCTATTTAGAATGCGAATAACAAATATATGTATTTGCTGCATCAACAACCTGAACATTTTAAATTAGGTAAAATTAATAAAACTTGATATCGGACCAAAATATTAAAAAAATATTTTCCTCTTCTCTAGGAAAACAGAGAAGAGACTTCTCTCCGTAAATATTTACTTAACTCGGGCATAATAAGAAGGGTCATGTGCCGGCGAAAATTTTCGGAAGACCTTCAAAGAGGGTTGGGCTTATGGTTGCCTGTTAAATATGAACCACTTGCCATCCTACCACTTCAGAAGATTATGCTATCTCATTACAGTTATTTCTAACAGAGAGCGAAACCGGAAAGGGAAATCCATTTCTCTCTCTTTTTTATATTAGATACTCCATGTGACTACAGCCCCTATACATATAATTTCTTTCGTGTTGCACTTTGTGTTGTTAGAGGGATCGGTTTACCAGATAATGACTAAAAAATTATTTTGAAAAATTGCAATTTGTCGGCATGGTAAAAGAATTAAAAGATGATGTTTTCTCAACGTTTTTGTCTGAGCCGACAACGAAAATTTAAGAAATTTATTTGATTGACCTCGGTAACTTGCGTGCATGCTGAAAATTTCACTGAAATCTGTTGAACTTGGTATGGGCTATAAACAACTAGAGATTTTTGACACTTTCGACCGATAATCTGTAGTTTTAAAAATCTTTCAACGCATTTTAGCTTGACTCTGCGTCAACCGATTTCGATGAATTCTTTAATATACATATTAAGTTACCGAGATCTACGCAATGCAATTTTTTAATTTTCGTTATGAGTTCAGATAAAAAAGTTGATAAAACAGCATTTTTGAATAATTTTATCATGCCAACAAATTGTAATTTTTGACAATAATTTTTTAGCCATTGTCTAGTAAACTAGCTCCACAAACATTCCAAAAAATTTAGATCACTTGGCCTAATTATAAAAAAAATTATTCCGTTTTAAAAGCTGCGCGAATACTTTCTTTACCCACTATACGTATATTTCGGTATATTTCAGCGAAATAGAGACCAAGGAAGGTGAACTCATTAGCGAAATCGGTCACATTTTCACGATCTTGTAAACCGGAACGATTATACATTACATCCGTTACATACCTACCCCTAAAATCATTCCTGAACTCATCCTTACATTTTACGACGTCCAAAATACCGTAGGGTCGTAAACAACCGAAGCTACTATTTTATTTTTTTTTTAATTTTAATATTATCTGCTTAATATTTATATATTTATATTATATTATATATGTATATTATATTTATATTATATATTATTATATAGATTATATTTATATTATATATTATTATATAGATTATATTTATATTATATATTATTATATAGATTATATTTATATTATATATATTATAATATATATTATATAAGTTGCAATTGGTTTAAGCGATAAGAAAAAGTAAAAACATTAAAGAATATAATTTTTGTATCCGAGGATATAACGAATGCAGCTTTTGCAAATAAAATAGCTTCGCGAATTATTCGTTAAATTCTGTTCGGACACGTGAATTAATTATTTAAATTAAAATATTCACGTACTTCGACAGGGTTACTTAGTGTTAATCTTCACTGTATACATGTTGCGATTTAAATATTTTCTGCTTATTGTTTTCGAAAAATTCTTTCTTCATCCATTTTTTAAACTTCTTAAGATACGATAATTGCACGTTGCAATTTCTCTTAAAACGAAGAAAACAAACATTTTAAAGATAATTTAATATTCGCGTCATTAAACAAATCGGTTAGAATGTCATTGTAAAATTAATTTTTGTCTTGAAACTGAATTATTACCAGATTTACCAGTCCGAAGCTTCCAAATTAAGATGACAAATAGATTCTAGAATTGATGTACCCTGTGCCATCAACAAATTATAAACCAGCAAAATGATTATTTAATCCTACGCTAATTTCACTCACACTATATCGTATTTCATTTTGAGTAGAATCTCCGACGTCGCTGACGAAACCTGATCGATTGGGCAAACGGAGTAGGGAGTTTTATCTGTATTGTCGGATCATTTAATCCACGCCGGCTCTCGACATTTCTATCTAAAAAAAAAACTGAAGAACGCAAGAAATTAAAAGCTATAAAATGAAAGAAAAATTTTAAAAATATAAGTGAACATATAAAACTATTGTATGAGACAGTACATATTTCCAAAGGTCTTGCGGTATATGTATAATTATGTGTCGTATAATACGATCAGTTTCTCAGTTGCTCAGTTTCAAAAATATACAAATGTATATAAACATACAGAGAGACACGAAATAATCGATTGAACCGAATACTCGAAACACAAACCGAATCGTAAATTAATCTTAAATTAAATTAATTTAAAATCTTCAAATTACCTACTTTTATATTGTTATATATTATATTGTTATAGTCATAGTGCACGATAGGTATATTGTCTATACGGAAATAAGCCAACGTAGACTGCAAAATGCAGACTGCGATCATTACGAGTTCTTCGAACTGATCAGTTCTTATTCGAATCCGTCCGAACGACTCGGTTTGTTTTGTTGATTCAAGGCACGGCAGCGAGGATCGGCCTGCAGGTAGTAACCTGCCCCCACTCTGCCAATGTAGAATCTCGCATCCAAGCCTGGAAACCTAGCTATGAGGTGTAGAGTAACTTTATATTTATCAAGTAAGACAAATTAAATTTTTGTATTCTTTTGTTTTGTTTATTTTTTAATTAAAAAATGTAATATGTCTTATTCGATAAATATAAGGATAATTATGCCCGAAGACAAACCGACAGCACAGCCAATTGGTCTCCGCTACCCGACTCCGCTATTCTAACTCAGGTTTTCGAAATATTTCAACTGTAACGTGACCCTTTGTCGATCGATTTCGATGAAATTTTCAGCATACCCCGATATTTACAAAACGCATTTTTTAAATTTGTATTATAAGCTAAGATAAACAAGTTAAGTTTGCCATTCCAACTAATTGTAATTTTTGAAAACAATTTTTTTATCCATTATCTAGTAAACTAATCCCTCTGACATGTTAAAACAATTTAAATCGCTTGGCTAGATTATAAAAAATTTATTCCGTTTTAAAAGGCGTACAAATACTTTCGTGTCCCATTATATTTTAGTAGCATGCGTTTGTATTAGTTTTTTTATGTACTGCTCCAATCATAGCTATAGTATTGTTATTTGTAACTGAGACAACTTGTATTTCATAATTATCATGTTTATTTAATAAACGTAAGCATCTCGTGTTGAAAAGCAATACGAAATATTAGGTTATTCCGAAAGTTCTTTTTACCATTGTATGAGCTTGATATTAAACGATGTGAGCACATGCAAACAGCGCGATTGGATTTAAAAAAGAAATTTTAAACTAGCGTTCCAGACGGCGAATACAAATATTTTTGCGGAAATTGCAATCGTTTCGAACGACAAGAAAAATATACAAAATTAACATATTTATCTTTATCTGGATCTAGAAACAAAAAAAAACAATGCGTTTTGTAGGTCTCTATAACTTACATGCATATTGAAAATTTTATCGAAATCGGTTAATGTTCTTATGAACTATAAACAATTCAAAATCGAGAAAATGATAATTGTTTTGCGACTTGTGACTAATCGTAAGAAATTTAGAGATTTTTACACTTTTCAATGCCTGCTGCTTAATTCTGTGTCAACCAAGTCTTATAAACCGAATTGTTTATATTTCCATTATAGGCTCGAATAAAAATGCTAAAAAACGAGAGTTTTATATTTTTATTGTCATTCCAACTAATTGCACTTTTGGAAAAAAATTTGTTACACATTGTCTAGTAAGCTACATAGTCCCTCTACAATCTTAAAAAGTTCAAGCCATGTGGCCCACCTTTTAAGAAGTTACTGAATTTTTACAATCGGACAACTGGCTCGAATCTATTTAGACCAAGAGTCATATAGGGTGTTCATTTTATCTTGAGCATACGTATTATTTTCGGCTAATAATGTCTGTGCCTGATGTTAGAAAAAGATGTGTAAGTGAAAAATTGCATGGTATGAATATGAAGGTACATTTTTTCAAGGTCATCTTAAGTCGAGTTTTCAAGATTACTGTCATTTTTTTTTTATTGTCGGTTTATAGTATTCAAGGTCATCCAACAGTCACGATAATATACACGGATGAATTCGTCTTAGTTGTCTAATATCAGGCATAACTGAGATAATACGTGTGCTCAAGATAAAATGAACATCCTGTTTGTATACAGTCAGTGTACACTGAATCGTAGACCGAATTCCATGTTTCTGACAAGTTGTCGATATTTGAACTGTTATAATCTCATAAAAAAGAGTGGCACCACAATAAATCTGGGCTTATTTTAAAGCTAGAATTTAAATAATTTTAAAGCTTCATCGATCAGTTCTTCCTACCATGCTTTCGCAACTCATAGCAAACGGGAATCTGAAGACATACACTTGTGGACAGAATGGTAAAGCTCCTCAAGATTTTTAGGAAAATGAATATACAACAAAATAAGACACTAATATTTACATAATATATAAAAAAAGTAAACAAATTGTTCAATCCCTTTGTTATTTGTTATAGACGTACACTGCTGAACAAGATGATAAAACACTTTGAATATAAAATAACAAAAGCATTAAAATGAAATGAGATTACATATTTTTTTCAGTTTTAATAATATGTGGATTGCCCTTTATATTGTACCACTTCAATCAGTCTTCATGGTGAACTTGTATACAGATTTTGATCCAAACTTTCCGAAACTTCTAAAATTGCAGATTTTAATTCCGTATACTGTATTACACTGCTTTCTAATAATTCTTAGGTTAGGCTGGTCAACCAGGTGTTTTGGCCAATTTAAAACCTCTATATCTTTCGTTTCAAAATAACTCTTCATTATGCGATCGCTTCCCACAGGTGCATTAGCTTGTTAAAACATGTATTTTTTCCAACAATTCTGCGATCGTAAGTCTCAGTTTGTTCTTTAATTAAGTTTAAATAGCCAACACTGTAACCTCTATAACCAATACCTGCTCATATCATTATTTTACCACCGCCACATCGTCCAAAACTTAATACCCTTTACTCTTTCCTTCAAGATCCATTTATTATACACAACCGTGTCATGTCCGTTCCATGTCCCGAAACCGAATTACATACTAGTTACTATGATTTTATATGCAACTGTTTGTGGCAGCTACCTCCATGCTTGCCAGCGCATGGATACTTCTCCACATTACCTAATCCGTTCCGATTTGTATATGAGCCGTTTATTTTGAAAGTGGCAGAGTCACTTTACCGTAATGAAAAGTGGGGATTTTTTAATGTTTATACGAAATTATTTATACTGAGAAAAATATCAGTATCCTGAGATAACAAATACAAGTAAATCTTCTCGAAAGTTAGCATCCATATTTTTAAACGTGTTAAAACACAAACCCTTAAATATATCGACTTAAAAACAAAGTGACTTATGCCACTTTCAAAATAAACGACTCATATGTGCATACATATATGTATACCGTTATCCTATGTACCGATATCTTCGCGTCTAAGGCAGGGTCCGCTAGAAAAGCCTTACCGATGAGTCCTCTAGCGGGACCAGGTCGAAACGCTCTCCCTTTCTTTTCCTCCACACCTCTGTCTTTTCAGCCGCCCAAATGTTTATGCATGGTCCGTGTCGTACCCGTTATCGGCCGGGAGTCGAATGTGCCCCGGTCACATTTGATGGTCACTGATGTTTTTTCGCTTTCCCGAATGGGAAACAATAACAAGTTCTAGCGTCTAATTGATTAAAATTTTTAAGGGATCCTTGTAAGGTGGATAATTTGATCTTCAAATCCATGCTAGGATCAGTAGTGAACAAATTTCGCCATTATTTAGAGCATTATAGTAACATTTTCCAGAAAATGGACGACAATGCGTAGTGTAAGTAGAAGCTTNCCGCCACATCGTCCAAAACTTAATACCCTTTACTCTTTCCTTCAAGATCCATTTATTATACACAACCGTGTCATGTCCGTTCCATGTCCCGAAACCGAATTACATACTAGTTACTATGATTTTATATGCAACTGTTTGTGGCAGCTACCTCCATGCTTGCCAGCGCATGGATACTTCTCCACATTACCTAATCCGTTCCGATTTGTATATGAGCCGTTTATTTTGAAAGTGGCAGAGTCACTTTACCGTAATGAAAAGTGGGGATTTTTTAATGTTTATACGAAATTATTTATACTGAGAAAAATATCAGTATCCTGAGATAACAAATACAAGTAAATCTTCTCGAAAGTTAGCATCCATATTTTTAAACGTGTTAAAACACAAACCCTTAAATATATCGACTTAAAAACAAAGTGACTTATGCCACTTTCAAAATAAACGACTCATATGTGCATACATATATGTATACCGTTATCCTATGTACCGATATCTTCGCGTCTAAGGCAGGGTCCGCTAGAAAAGCCTTACCGATGAGTCCTCTAGCGGGACCAGGTCGAAACGCTCTCCCTTTCTTTTCCTCCACACCTCTGTCTTTTCAGCCGCCCAAATGTTTATGCATGGTCCGTGTCGTACCCGTTATCGGCCGGGAGTCGAATGTGCCCCGGTCACATTTGATGGTCACTGATGTTTTTTCGCTTTCCCGAATGGGAAACAATAACAAGTTCTAGCGTCTAATTGATTAAAATTTTTAAGGGATCCTTGTAAGGTGGATAATTTGATCTTCAAATCCATGCTAGGATCAGTAGTGAACAAATTTCGCCATTATTTAGAGCATTATAGTAACATTTTCCAGAAAATGGACGACAATGCGTAGTGTAAGTAGAAGCTTCACGCTTCAAAATGAGGCCAGCTGTATTGTAATACAACATGCTTTTGCGAATTTATAACAGTTCAAATAGCGACAATTTGTCAAAAATAGAAAATACAGTGTACGAATTCTTTTTACTTTAGACTTTCCCAGTTTTTAATTAAAACTTTCACATGTTTCATTAAGGTTTATAGAAAAAGCAATGCGTCTAGGAGTACCATAAAAGGTATGTCAAACAAATTTGATAAATAAAATTATAGATGATCCTAAGCATAAATTTATATTCTTATGAAAAATGTGCGCCGTTACAGTGTTAAAAAGCATCCGAATATTGTCGTTGCTCACTATATAAGCATTACGAAGATATAACCAAAAAATACCGATATAACACCGATGTTTTACATTTCGGGACAAGTCTCTGGCTATAATGCGTTCAACGTTCCCTAATTGTAAGCAGACCTGGGCACATGTCAAATGACATCATTAGAAATATCATTTCAAATAACATGCTATTTTATTTCATAGTTATTTTGATGCCTGTGATCCCATCTGAAATAACATTTGAAATATTATTTCACATATTATTTTATTTTATAATTATTTGAAATGATCACGAAAATTTAGTTTAATGTTTGGGACTGGTTTACACCCTTTTGCTTTAAACAAATTGTTATGAAGAATTCATAAAATAGAATCTTTTTGTTGATTATTATTTTGCGGATTATTTCTTTGTACAGGAAGCATTGCTTGAAAGAAATTGTCATAAAAATTTCGTAAAATAAAATATTCTCGTTGATTATTATTTTGTGGATTATTTCTTCTTGTTCATTATTATTTTCAGCATTATTGCTTTTGGCCAATTTGAAATAATGAAATAATGAAAGAATTTATTATTTAAAAATCGTTTTGTCTCAAATGAATCGACATAATTTCTATTTTCAAATAACAGCCAAAAATAAATGATTTCAAATAGTTATTTTTTATTTTTATTTCAAACAAAATTCGCTTAGATCTGATTGTCAGTTGTTTCGATCACTGAATGAAACCGTGTGTATATGCGTATACTAATGTATATCTGATATTGATAACGTATTATATTAATGTATGTCGGATTTAGGTATGGGCTAAGTAGGTTATAACCTAGGGTAGCAGTTTTTAAGGGATGCGGTTTTTGAAAAAAACTCCGCTTTAATTCTATAGATAGTAAAAACGTACGAGCTTAAGTAGTTTTACAACTGATCATTACGAATTGAACAAAAAATAGTAACTTTTCATATATATGTATCATATCATGTTACAATTGGACTAATCATTTGGTGGACTAACCTTGTTATGACGCAAAAAAGGAATGAAATAACAAATAATATATACTTCCATAAGAACGCTAAATCTATAATATTTTAAATGCTTACTCCTTTTTACGGGACAACAAAAATATGTTAGCCTATGGCGGCAAAAGCCTAAATCAACCTCTGTGTATACAAGTGCATATGTATGTGTTGCACTGTACGTATCAGGGGGCTTCCCCTACCACGTGCCCCGAACGAGAAAATGACAGGCGTGTGTTGTGCGTACGACTTGGGCCGGTGTAGAGGCGCTGTCTTGTGCATTCACTGATTGGATCGGTGGTCACGTGGTCCGGCTCGATCGGACGAAGTGGGGAACTCGCAGAGGACCGAGCGCGCCAGGCAAGGTACCATCGCACGATCGCACCGTCAGTTTGAGTCGGGCCGTGCTATAGTGTGTAGTTTATGAATCTCAATCCGGTCGAGTCGCAAGATTCAAATTCTTGACTTTATCCTGTTCGTGGCATTTGCACGGTTCAGAATCGGACTCGATATCAAACATACCTCGCGACCGAACGAACGAAACGCGACAGTGAAACAATGGACGATGTGTTTACGTGATCAGTGATTTCATCGGGCGAACAAACAAAAGCAAAAGAGAAGAGTGACGACAGATGAACGTGATTGGTCTGCGTTAAACCTTGGTAAGTGAAACTCTTCGACTTCTAGGGTCCGTTATTTCCAGTTATTTCTTCGTGCGTTATCCGCGCGACCTGGCCACCGTGTCCTTGTCAACGAAATCGATCCTCCCACATTGATCGATGCACGAACAATCAAATTTTTCCGTTCTCGGTACTGGCTCGGGGTACAGACCGCGAATGAAGATAATTATTGATTTACGTAAAAAGCGTGGTTTTATGCAAATGATTATCGCGTGAACTTGTTCTGCGTTTATAGGAATCTGTTAATTGATGACAAGAGAATGAGAACTCTGTGCAGTCAGATTACGATCAATGTTTGAATCGACCCGACGTGCGAATTGATTTTGAGGTTACGTAGGCTTCTCGGTGGCTTGTTATTCTAAGAAGGACATGTTTAAGTTACCCGTCATGTGTTTTCCGGGAAACTGTTAACCTTTAGTTTACACGCTTTATCACGATAGCTTCGTATATTTCACACCATCGAAATTGGTGCGACTAGTTTGGAAGCGGCAACAGAAATGATCGGGGAAAGTCATATCGCAGTTCATTTTTCTTTGGCAGATGGTAAACATTACGCGCAAACAAACGTTTCGAAGCGTGATATACTCGTGCCATGCGAATAAATCATGAAAGATAAGTAATCGTAATATGTACACATAGTGTCGTACGTATGTGTTTTGCACAATCAGCAAGAGATTTCACTTGTTAGTATGTATGGAATAACCCAGTACCTATTTTCGTCTGTTTCAGCTAGGCAAATTGTTTTTAAGAGCTAATTTGCGAAAGTAATATTAATAAAAGGAGAACGACAAATTTGGGACAGGGAATATAAATATTGTTCTATTATTGAGCAACAAAGATTGGACGCGCAACATATGGGCCGTTAGTTTATGTAATAAATTGATGTTCAGTGATTTTGCCCTAAATGGGTTTATTTTTCTCTAGCTATTATCATTAAAAATAAATATAAATCTGGGAAGCTTCGAAAAGTAATGTGCTTTTATTAATGCTTCGACAAAAAAAACATAATTTAGAAAAAACTGCAGAACGCGTGGACCGATTCCGTTAACTTTGAATAATGTTGTAGAGTACGATATTTGGAACAACTTTTATCTGAAAAATAATTGCCTCTCGGTTTTAGTTTTCAAGTTTGTTGCTACTAAATCGCGATAAATCTATACATCTGTAGCGGCATGTGTAGCATACGACCATCGCGTGTTTTAATTTTCTATGTGACGCCGGGAAGCAATGCATATACAGGGTAAAATGGTGAAGAAGGTATCTTCTCTGTAGAGAATATAGGGCTCGGGGGGGGGGGGGGGGTATA